GTTAGCCTACTCAACGTAAATTACACACGAACAACATTAAGCTACTCACGCAGAGAAGAACAGCTGCTGCTGCCATCATCAGCCGTCATCATTTCTGCTACACTGACAGGGCTAGGGGCCAGGACTCTCCTCTTCGGGTTCTTGGGGGATGTTGCTAACTCGGTACATTTCTCGGCTTTTAAAAAACGCTATGCGTCGCCAGGTTCGTCGTCAGATTCGAGGTGTTACCTCCTTTGCACAGTATCACAGTATCACCTGAAAGCACTTGTTGCAGGCTGCTGAGTTTGCATCTTTTGCTGTGAAGTACAGCCAGACTTTTGACCGCTTCGCCTTGGGCATTTTTAATCTGTAGCTCTAAAAGAACGTACGTACCTGGGCCTGCCTACTATCCTTGCAAAGGTAAAATGATGGGCTAGAATCCAAAGTGTATGACATCTCAGGAAAAAAAAAAAAGCACCGAAATGTGCGCTGCTTTTCGGTCTGGTTACTGCCGTTTATGTCAGAACCGGTGCCATTACTGGTACCCATCCCTACAGTCAACCACCCATAGATACCCATAGAAACTGTTTTTTGATTTCCAGTCCATGAAGATATTTACTTATGCATCACTAAGAAAACTAAGGAGTATATGTGATGTATTTAGTTCCATATCTACTTCACTGATGTCACCTAAGATGCACAGCGTGGGAGAGGTTGGGATACAGCAATTAAACCATGTGGACAGGTTTTCACATATCCTCTGGCGTGTACTCAATCTTAACAGATTTGTAATACCCATATTAAAAGACTAACCATTTTAATCTGTTAACAAAAGCGAAGAAAACCTGCACCCAGTCATTGATGAAAGAGCAATTTTGGAAGATAGTGTTTGTTTTTTTATATGACCCTAAGCTCCCCTAAGGAACAACACTCTCTGTGCGCTAAGCTACCAGCATTGTTGCAGACCCCTCGTGCGTGAGAAGCATTCACTTTTCTGCTGCCTGGAAAAAGGTTTCAGAGCATCTCAGCCACCACCATTAGACACTGCAATAGCTTCTTCTCCCACGCATTAAAGGTTCCTCAACACCTCGGGGGTCCTTCTTTGCATCAAGAGACTCAACAAGCTAACTCAGACATGTTTAAAGTCTTGTACGGTATGTTTGCATTGTGGGCGGCACAGCAGTGCAGTGGTTACCACCACTGCCTCACAGCAAGAAGGTCGTGGGTTCTCTCCAGGTCCTCCAGCTTCCTCCCACAGTCCAAGGACATCCATGTCGTTAGCTTAGTTGGTGATTCTAAACTGGCCTTAGTCAGTCTTTCTGTGTTAGCCTGTTCAGCGTCTATCCTGCCTCCCACTCTATGAAAGCTGGAATGAGCTCCACCCTTACTCTGGGAGTCTGAATTGAACAAGCAGACAAAAATGGATGGAGGTCCAGAAAGACACTGACAAGCTATGCATTAAATTAAGAGGAGCTTTACGCTTTCATCTCTTAGTGATGCACTTCATATTCTGGTATATTTACATATCAGTAGTTACTATATACTTTTACAAATTACTTTATTCCTCCCATCTATCACTAAATAGTACTATTACTTTGAAGTTTGTTTCTGCTATGTTCTGTCTATTGTCAACACACTGTGATATCCATTTCTGTCTTAAGTGTTGTCTTGTATCGTTACATATAGAGCCAGGCTGATATAGGATTTTTAAGACTTATTCTATTTGGTCATTTAAAAATTTGATCTAGTGTAAAATATGGGTTTTCTTTCAAACACACAAAATAAACAGATTTACATAAAATTGTTTACCCGGATCAGCAGTTCCCAACACATGAGTTTCCAACAGGGAAGTTGCAGAGTGCCATCTGGTGGACAAACATTACAACATCAATATTCACACACAGTTGAAGGGTGTTTCTCCTGTCTCCTTTTAGTTTATTTTTCATTTTTCAATTGCTATAAATGCCAAACAGCTAATAATGGTCAATAATAAGGCCCTGAGGTCTACTTACATGTTACGCCCAAGTTACAAGAGAAAAAGTATTTTAGCCTTACTATATGCATGTACAAGGATGGGCTGAAAATCACCAACTCTTATATCCTGAATCCCTGATGACATTTTATATTCATATTTTTATTTTTTAAAATATGAAAATAATCTAGCATTCTTAGTTTTGTACTATGTAGGTGTGCCAAGATCCTGACATATATACTGATCAGTATCTACCTAATAATGTTTAGGTCCTCCGTGTGTCTTGCCCATCAAGCACGACAATGACACCTCTGAGGTTCCTTGTTAAAAGTGGTAGCTGTGGATGTTATGAGCTGTGTCTGTGGCCTCTCAGCATAAGATTGCACATCAAAGTTTAGGTCCCTTTGTTTTGTTCCTTGAGGTGGCCCTCAGCATTTTCTGCTAGAGGAGCTGGCTGCTGCTTAGGACCATTGTTCCCTTGGGGCTGGGGGCCTGGGGTTGGTTTACGACAACATTTATGTGGATTGTACATGCCACAGTAACATACACAACTGGAAGCTCAATGGTAGTAAAAGTCATTAGAAAAGTCAATTAGTAATTAGTAATTAGCTAAGGAAAATAGTATAAATCAATTTAATAGTTCCAAACACTAAAAATGACTTTCGTCCCACTAACAAAAAAAACCAGAAAATCAAAAACCAGAAAATAAAAGAAATGAATAAGCAGTCACCTCAACTAACAACATACTGGAGATACTAACAAATCCACAAAGCCAACTTGCACAGCAAATATTGAAAATAAAGCATCACACAACAGTGGCTACAGTTTCAACATTCCTACTTTCACACTGTTAAGAACTAACCAGCGTAGAAGGCTGGAGAGGCTCTCAGGGCGTAGAAACTGCAGCTCCAGAAATGGCACTATAATCAATAGCTTCCCAGGCCACTTGTTAAAAACGCCATTTCCATCTCCAAGTCGCTGAGAGGGCCCTTTACCAGGAAAGAGCCACATATCATTCTTTCCAGACAACTGGTGGAATGAAAAATAGGAGACTACTGTCACTGACCAATATTGATTATGAGTGAAAATGTGATCATTTTGTATTAACTTGCCTCTAGGAGCCCTGTTCTGTCAGGTTTGTGGGTGAAAATTAATGCTTTCATATCATGCTAACAAAAATATGGGCCATTGCTCATTTTCGCCTCCAGACAAGGAACTATGTGTAAATCATAAAAATTAAACAGTTTCCCCAAGAGAACATGCTGATATGAATTAGATTAAAGTCATTATTAAACACATTTCTTCCTACTTTAAAGATATTTATTATTGCCCCTGACACCACTTTAATGAAGCTCAAGACTTGGCATTTAAAATATCAATTTCTGATGATTAGAGTTGTCACTGTTAAAAAGAGGAAATGTGGAAAAGGAAGAGGCTTTTCTATCCAATTGAAATGTCTTGCTTTGTATGGCGTAGATCACCATAATGGTGCCATGTGAAATACTTGAGATCCTGCAATCAAGAGAATTACAGGCAAGTTCTAGTACACACACTTAAATGTTAATGGTTGATGCTGCTTTAAATAATTTGCCTCACATCTAACTTTGCATTTGTGCAGTTTAACAGTGCATATCTACCAAATTGGTGCAGCCGCTTGTTTAGTTCAATTATTTTATGCTGATATACAAGCTGTCAGTCAAACTTTGGTCAGAGTTTAACCAACTGAAAACTGAGGTCAGATTGCACTCAAAGCACCCCGTGCCAGATACTATCTGTGCAATTTTATATATATATATATATATATATATATATACATACATACATATATATATGAAATATTATATTAGTTTATCTATTTTATAGAAACAATCAAGCAAGAAAGTAAAAATGATGTGCTGTGCTATTTGGTGTATTTTATCCTATATAATTAAGTGAGCAAACTGTACATGAGTCAGTTTTAACTAATAGTGTCCATAATCTGCTTCCTTGTGGACTCTCTCTTTTACACAGGAGACCACAATCAACATAAAAGAAGCCATAAAGAGCTTTATGACCAACTAACAGTCACCAAAATGTGATTTTCCCATGTGGGACGTAATGCAGGATGGCAATCCCAATAATTGTCTAATAAAGTAGTTTAACACTTCAAGTTTACCATGAACGCAAACAGGACCACAACTAAAAGGTAGCAATGACTTACTTCTTATAACTGATGAAAAGTGGCCAAATGGTTAAAAACGTGACCATGTTATATAGTCCACAATACACAGACAATTAATTGGGCAAATATTTGTATTCTGTTCACACTCCCACCCACACATGTTACTCTGGTGTACTCATATTAAAGAGACTTCTATTGTTTCTGTATTTTCTTTCTGAAGCACAGCATATGTAAATTATCCTCCACTGAAGGAAAGCAAATGAAAAGAAAGACTAAATATAACTGTCTCAGCATGACAGGAGAATAAAGGCAGTCCCAAAGTCATTTTAGATGCAGCGTGACTGGCCCTTTCTCAGCCCCTTCCTTAGCAGGGCGATGGGGGTTCATAATTACAACATAGCCTAAAGACAAATGCACAAACCCGTAGCTCTCAGTTCTTATTGAGATGGCAAAAAGTCATAAATATGGCCCTATAGGAAAAAAGCTCATGTTGTTTTATTAGTTTGTGGTTTTTTTCCACATCCTACTGAAAATTCAATAAATCCGTACCAATTCTCTCACGCTGTCACATTCAAACTGCTTTGTGAAGCTTATCCTTGCAGGCATTTTGTCCCAATCTCAGACTAGTCAAGCGATGGCCACAGCAGTGATATTACACTCTGTGTCACACATCTCAGACCTTATCAGGCCTCATAAGCACTTATATTCAAAAAGCAATGCATTAAACATAGGGAAAAAAACAAGAAGTAATATCTTTTGTTTGTTTCAGAGCACAATTCTTATTAAAAAAAATGTAATATATGGTCCTTCTTGCAGACAGATATGGTGTATACCATATCAGCAGAAGCAAAGGCAATAATTAAAATAAAAGCGGATGTTAACATTTTTCTTCATTTTTCTTATTGAACATCCCCTTTGGAAAAGAAGTATGCATATTCACTGAATCCAGATGATGGAAAAATACTGCAGATAATAAAGCTTGGAAGAAGAAAGGGCATATGAAGGACTTTAATAATTTGAGAGTTCAATCATTCTTCTTCAGGCTGTGATGACTGGCAGAAATTGTGTTGAAGTGTGTGTAGGTGGGGGTAACTGCTCTGACAATAGTCAGGTATACTCTATCAACTGCACAGTTGCAAGCTCTCTCAGGCTGCTGGGGAGCTGCTGCAGTTGTCAGGGTATTGCTCCATATGCACTGGATTACCCAGAGAACCCAGTAACAGCAAAGAGATGTCACACAACACAGCACTGTCAATTTCTGAGGACAGGTGGGAATCTCTCTCCCCAATCTTTAGTGCTAAAACAGGTGTGCTTCAGAAAAGTAGTATATTTAGAGTAGCCTATGGGGAAATACCCAGTGTATTTTTATATGGATATGTTCAGAGGAGAGATACAAGCCATAATACAGTCAAAAAACACCTTGGAACAAGGATGTAATATACAAGCTGGACTTCTTTGTGTCAAACAGCAAAGTCCACAAACATGCACATGCAGTGCATTAGCAGAGCATACTGGACGAGAAATACGGATCTCATCTTTCAACACTTCTCTACTTGTACATTATATAGTTGCACAGGACTGTCCCTTTATTGGTTTTTTGTTTTATTTACTTATTTATTTATTCATATGAAGACATGGAAAAATATAGAAAGTTCATCTACTCAGGTGTCATTTAAGTAACAAGGACTTTTAAAAGAATTGTTTTTCTTGTATATTGTATGTGTCAACTGCACTTCCAGGTCAAAGTATTTGAATAGTGACACAGTTTCTGTAATTTCACCACAATTCTGAAAAATCAAGACTATTAAGTTAAAAGTTAACAAAAATATGGCATCAAGGAAACGCTGTGACAAGATCACCTATGAAAAGGTGGATGTAATGGTCTATAATCAGAAGAATCAAGTAAAGATAACTTGTGGACAGACCGATGGCTAAGTATCTTTTTTTTTTTAATCTTTTTTTTTCTATAAACTTGTGCTACAATCAGCTGATTTTAGTTCATGTTTAGGAGGAGAAAAACTGTATCCAAATTTCGATTAAGGAAATATGAACATAAGTGGTATTTTTATTGTACGTAAGAACAAGAACGTGATGGGAAACCATGCCTAGAAACAACTAGAAACAACTGGGTCTACTAATAAGACATCAACTCTTTGTAATAATATGCAAAGACAATTTGCTAACACAAAGCTTGTAACAAAGAACCCTGAAACCAGAATGATGTTAAACATAAGTACATACTGACCTCTGACAAGCAGCCAAAGCTTGAGGCTACGTCTACACGTACACGGGCATTTTTGAAAACTGAGATTTTCCGTTTTCGTTTTTTCTTTTTAATCCTGTCCACATGTAAACGCAAAAACGAAGGAAAACGCTGCTAGGAACATGCCAAAGCAACAGGTGGTAATATATTCCTAACCGTGTAGAAATGTTGGCCAATCAGAAGTCTAGAAGCCTGGATGGGAAAGAGTAAACAAAGATGGCGCATAGAAGCAGAACTGAGTCCTATGTGTGGAGGGACAGAAACTGTGTTGTATATGTAAGCATGTAAACACTGCAGAGAGTAAAGTTAACAGTAACAGTATTTTGTCTAAGTCCAAAAAAGGCACACACCTTTGACGCTGCGTTTTCTCCGTTTTCCTCGTCCACACGTAAATGCAAAAACGGAGTTTTGAAAAATATCCACCCTGGCAGGAGTTTTTAAAAATCTCAGTTTTCAGTGACCGAAAACGCCGTTTACGTGTGGACGAAAGGTGCAAACACATAGAAAATGTGAGTTTTCAAAAATACCCGGGTATGTGTGGACGTAGCCTGAATGTCAAATGGTAACAAAACCAGTGATGAGTCATCAGACTTGTAGAAATGTACCATCATTTCTATCTGTACCTGTTCCTACTGTGGAGTCGCTGGGACAATCACTGTTAATAGATCTCTGGACTTGTTTTAACCTTTGAGTTAAAAGTAAACAACTTGTGTACAATGTTAGCTTATCATGTTATAAACTATGAGTTTATAACAAAAAATATTGATATAAACACTGACTATAACCCCTAAATGGTTAATCATTTTTTGTTAAAACAAGTGAATTAAAGCTGAAAGTCTGTACATCAATCAGATCTTAGTTGTTTCATTTCAAATCCGCTGTGATTGAAAAATGGACTGGTTCTTACGGTACGTAGCACTTTTCTACTTGAGCACTCAAAACGCCGTCTCACTCACCCATTCACACAGATTCATACAAGCAACTTTTTTTTCTCCGTCTATCATTCACACTCTGAACAATTCAGGACCAACTTGGGGTTCAGTGTCTTCTCCAAGGATACTTTGCCATGTAGACTGGAGCAGTCAAAGTTCGAACCATCAACCTTCCGATTAGTAGATGACGACCTCTACCACCACTTTGGTGGTGTCAGAGATACAACTACAAAAACTGTGTCACTCTCAAAATACTTCTGGACCTGTCTGTATGTGCCAGAATATCATCAGAACTAACAAACAACAAACATTTCTAGTTTTGTCTGGGTCTTATTTGACTGAGACTGACCCAATGTTGACATTTACACACTTGCCAGGCAGGGTAAAAAATGTAGATTTCAGTGGCAGCAAACTAAAGCTTTGTCCTCTTGGCCCAAAGTGACAGTATTGGAGCTCCAAGTATCAATAGCTACCTCGATCCTTGATAGAGATGGGTGTTACCAATGAGTTATACCAATACACTGTCCGATATAGTGAAATGTGTAAGAAATATTAGTAAATGCACACTGTCACACTACATGACTATGCTAGCAAGTTTATAAAGCATGAATAAAAAATGATGTAAAAAAATGTGATTGTTTATATGAAAAGTCTTGGCTTTGAACACAAGTGC